TTTCAACAGGCTTGCCTTGGAAGTCAGTACGGTGAGTCCAAAGAAAAATCCCATGCCATTGACCAAGCTTTCCTACTTCTAAGAGGAGATGGAAACTTACGGAAGAAGGATCCAGCAGTACCTGACTCCACTCAGGACCCCCTTGTCCTACAACTCCTTGAGGAAGTAAACAAGTTGAAGGCCGAACGTCAGGCCGAAATACCTGACTGGAACCAACCTAGGCCTGGCCCTCTTACAAGGAGGATCCTCGACACCCCCTCCAAGCAAAGACAAAGCAGAAGCTTGGCTTACAACTGTACATTGGAAGGGAGGACCCGATTAAACACCTTAACCTCTTTGAGTCCACCATGGCATACCAGATGCACACTGACGAAGAACGAGGTCTTCTCTTCCCCTCTACCCTCTCTGGCGGAGCTCTAAATTGGTATTGTCGTCTTCCACCTGAGACAGTAGACTCAATTGAGGAACTGAGGAAACTATTTGTCTCTCAACACATTTTCCAGACAGATCGCTTGCATTACGCAGATGACTTGTACACTATTCGCCAGAAACCGGATGAGTCACTATGAAAGTATGTTGGCCGCTTCAGCCATGAATATTCTCGCTGCGCTGAGGCAGATGACAAGACCGCGCTTAAAGCCTTCACAGCAGGCCTATGCGACTGTTTCTTCAAGTACATGATCAATGCTAACACTTGGAATACTTACTCTGAGGTAATGGCACAGGCTTATAACCATGCATCCGCCGAGGCAAAGGCATATCAAGGGAAACCCCCTATAGCCATCCCTTATCAGCAAATGGGGAGTGGAAGCTAAATCCAACCGAATGAGAATACCTCAACCTTCCAAACAACAGCGACACTTCCCTCTGCCCTACCTAATACCTCGCTAAGTCAACAGCCGTATCATTCTCAGGGCAAGAGGAAAGACTTTCATCCTCACCAGTCTCACTTTAATAAAAAGTGTAAGGGGCACTATCGCGATAACCAAAGGTATTACCACGATAATACGCGCCCCCAGGCGATCAATGCGGTAGGCCAAACACGTGTCAAGAATGGTCCTACCCTGAGGTATGAGACATACACACCTTTGAACACCACATGCATGGCCATTTACCCCAATATAGCTCACTTGATACCAAAGCCAAGGCTGAGGGAGCCAGATTTCAAGTCCACGAAGAACACAGGCATGTTTTGTGGTTACCACGAGTATAATGGCCATGACGACAAGAACTGTATCACCCTTTGTGATCATATTGAAGTTTTGGCACGTGAAGGAAAAATTGACCAGTTCCTCATTCACCCTCCAAGTGATAACCACAACCAACGCCAAGTGAATGTGATATATTCCATAAGCGGTGGCATACCCATATCTGAATCTTCCAACAGGGCCATGAAAAACAATGAACGAACGTTGAAGCCTGGCCACCAAGTGTTTCACGTGGAAGACATCAGGGGAGGCAAGTATCAAATGCCTAACTAGGATCCAATATGTTTCTACCCTGAAGAAGAAAGAGGTATCATCTATCCTCACAACAACGCACTAATTGTGGAGGCTCACATAGCCAACTTTGATGTACGACGAATCCTGGTAAACACGGGGGCGTCGGTCAAAATCATGTTTGTTGAAGCTTTCAAAACACTTGATGTAGCTGAACACTTGCTCGATCACTCGGTTTCTCCTCTGATAAGCTTCTCTGGTGATGTCGTGCAACCTTTAGGGAGCGTACATTTACCCTTCACCATCGGTACAGGCCCGTACACAGCCACCATCACCACTAACTTCTTGGTGGTCCACTGCCCAACGACATACAATGTCATCTTTAGGCGCACAGGCATTAATGATCTCAAGGCCATGGTATCCACGCATATGTTGTTGATGAAATTTCCAACCCCCTATGGCAATGGTTACATCATAGGAGATCAACTTAGTGCACGATCATGTTACAACACCTCAGTCAAGCAACAACACTTGCATGTACCCAAAGAGACACTCTCTATACATGACCAAGTTATCAAGACCAGCTCGAACAAAGCCAACTTAAATATTCACGGTGGTAACAACCAACCCGACGATCCTCGAGATGACTCTTTCACCCAGCAAGCACAACCTGCTGAAGAGTTGGAGAAGGTCTCTATCTCAAAAGATTATCCAGATTGCATAGTGAAGATTGGCACCACTTTGTCACTACCCATTCGGTTGGCATTGATCTCTTTTTTGCAAAAGAACACTGAAGTCTTCGCCTGGTCATACGAGGACATACCAGGCATCTCCCTCGATATCATCTGTCATCGCTTGAGTATTGATCCCAAAACCAAGCCGATGAGACAGAAGCGAAGATCTTATGATGCTAAACGATATGAAGCAATGAAGGCAGAAGTTGAAAAACTTGAAAGCATAGGCTTCATCCGTGAAGTCAATTATCCAACGTGGGTAGCAAATGTGGTCCTTGTTAAGAAAAATCCGACCAAAGAAAGTCTCTTGCTTCAAAAGATCTTATGGAGAATGTGTGTCGACTACACCGACTTAAACAAAAGATGCCCGAATGATAGCTTTCCCCTTCCTCTCATTGATATACTTGTAAACTCTACAGCAGGGTGTGAACTCTTGAGCTTCATGGATGCTTACTCAGGGTACAATCAAATCCTCATGAACCCTTCGGACCAAGAACACACGGCCTTCACCACTGATAGAGGGCTATATTGCTATAAAGTCATGTCATTCGGCCTAAAGAATGCAAGGGCGACTTATCAAAGATTAGTCAATTCAATGTTCGCTGAACAGATTGGGAAAAGCATGGAACTTTATGTTGATGATATGTTAGTCAAAAGCAAACATGCTGACCAACACATTGCCAACTTGTCTAAAACCTTCTTCATCCTAAAGAAGTATCGAATGAGGTTGAACCCCAACAAATGCGCTTTCGGTATGGGCTCTGGAAAATTCTTGGGCTTCATGATTAGCCAATGAGGCATTGAAGCTAACCCCGAGAAAATCAAAGTAATCATGGACATGAAAGAACTAGTAACCTCAAAAGACATCCAGAGCCTTACTGGCAAGGTGGCAGCCTTGACCAGGTTCATTTCTAAGGCCACAGACAAATGTGTTCCTTTTTTCAAAGCACTTAAGGGAAGTAAGAAGTACATTACGTGGACCGATGAATGTGCCGAAGCATTTAAGAACCTCAAGGAGTACATGAGTAAAGCCCCTTCTGCTTTCCAAACCTGAAGTTGGCGACACCCTAATTGTCTATCTATCTGTCTCAGCTTTAGCAGTTAGTTCAGTCCTCATTCATAGAGATAGTAGTATCGAACGACCTGTCTACTACGCTAGCAAAGCTCTACAAGATGCGGAGACACGATACTCCAACATTGAGAAATTAGCTCTAGCATTAGTCATGTTTGCTCGAAAACTTCGCCACTACTTCCAAGCGCACTCCATCATCGTGCTTACCAATCACCCCCTTCGACACATACTTCAGAGTCCTGACACTTCGAGGCGAATGATCAAATGGGTCATAGCACTGGGAGAGTTTGACATCTCCTACCACCCAAAGCTAGCTGAAAAGGGCCAAGCAGTTGCAGATTTCATTGCCGAATTCACTTATCCTGTTGACATTTCTCCTACACCTGAGGCAGCGGCTTCATCACCCCTGGAAACCCGGAAGTTAGAACCAACACTCCCAGTATGGACTCTATATGTTGATGGCTCATCCAACCAACAGGGTTGTGAAGCAAGACTAGTCCTGACTACCCCCGACAAAGTGGCAATGGAGTATGTTCTCTGCTTCAAATTCAAGGCGTCAAACAATAAAGCCGAGTTGAGGCCCTTTTAGCAGGCTTACGTTTGGCCAAACACCTTGGAGTTAAACAAATTAATATCTTCAATGACTCCCAATTGGTTGTTAACCAAGTCATAAACAATTTTGATGCTAAGGATAACTCCATGGCAGCGTATCTTGCGCAAACGCAGCTTTTGCTCAAGCACTTCCACTACCAGATCACCCAAGTCCCTCGAGTGGCAAACAGTCATGCAGACGCTTTGGCTCGCCTCGCCTCAGCAGTGGAAGACAAGATTAGGAGAAAAATTCATGTCGAATTGTTGGCAACACCAAGCACCATGGTCACAGAAGTGTGCAACTTGCAACAGAGGGATAGTTGGATCACCCCAATTTACAAATTCCTTGTTCATGGCACTCTCTCAAATGATAAAGTCCAAGCTAAACAGATTTGATACAAGTCTACCCGCTACCTGATCATTAATGACCAACTCTACAAGCGAGGTTTCAACCTACCATACTTACGGTGCCTCACACCTGCTGAAGCGGAAATTATCCTTCGAGAAATACATGAAGGAGTCTGCGGAGATCACGCTGGATCTCGATCCCTAGCACACAAGGCTTTTCGCCAAGGATATTACTGGCCAACACTCCACCAAGATGCCATCAGAATATCCCGCTCATGTGATAAGTGTCAACGCTACGCAACTATTCATCACTCCCCTCCCGAGCCTCTTACTCCTATAATCAGCCCTTGGCCCTTCGCCCAATGGGGACTTGATTTGATTGGCCCAATGCCTGCAGGAAAGGGCAAGGTCCGCTATGCAATCGTTGCAGTTGACTACTTCACAAAGTGGGCCAAAGTAGAACCCTTGGCAACCATTACTGAGGCAAAAATAGAAGACTTCATATGGAAGAACATCCTTTGCAGATTTGGCATTCCTAATGCGATAGTCATGGACAATGGGCGACAGTTTGACAATAAGAAGTTCAGGATGTTCTGTTCTAAGTTCAACATCAACTTATGTTTTGCCTTCCCAGCTCATCCCCAGTCTAACGGACAAGTTGAGGCCATCAACAAAATAATCAAACGCACTTTGAAAACCAACTTGGACAAGGCTAAAGGTTGTTGGCCAGAATTTGTACCCTAAGTTCTTTGGTCATACCGCACTTCATATCGGACTTCAACAGGAGAAACTTCATTCTCACTTGCCTTTGCTGTTGTCCCAGTTGAACTTGAGCAAGCAACGTTCCGAGTCCAGAACTACATGCAAAGTGAAAATGACAAACAACTCACCCTCAACTTGGATCTAGTCGAGGAACACAGAAACCAAGCTCACTTGAGGAATGTCGCCTACAAGCAGCGCATCTCCAACTACTATGACTCAAGAGTCAAACCTCGCTCTTTCAAAGTGGGGGACTGGGTATTGAAGAAAAGGCTACTCTGCGACAGAGTCCCGAGTGAAGGCACGCTTAGCCCAAATTGGGATGGACCGTTTGAAGTTATTGGCATCAGTCGCCCTGGTTCTTACAAGCTCAGGAGCTCCGATGACAAGACCCTTAGCCATCCATGGAACGCTGATCACTTGAAGTACTATTACAAGTAGACTCACACTGTAGAAGTGTTGAGCTACGGCCATTCGGCATCCTATGTAATGAAGGACATTTGGCATCAATTCAATAAAGAGGTTATTTAGACAACCTGGTCCTAACTCCCTTACATCCCTATCACTGAAACGCTCAGGTTTGAAGCTTCAACACGAATACTTACAACATGAAATAAAGTCTATATATATGTCAACATGACTTATATTCAAACAAGAGATCTATTCAAACATAACCAAACATTCATCAATGATAATACAAATACTTGGCAAATAACAGCAAAACGCACAGTACAAGGTTGCAAACATACACAAACAAAAAACCCTTAGCCTTATCACATGGCACATGCCAGACAAACAATAAACTAGTACATCCAGAGTACATGGCACATGCCACACAAACAACAAACTAGTACATTCAAAATACATGCAAAAAAAAAGGCACTATGAATCACCCTCGTCTGAGGCCGAACCCCTGACAATATCACTCTGCGTTTCAACCACATCACCATCGCCACCATCCTCGGTATCTCCAGAACCATCCTCACTCTCCTGAGACTGCTCACCAACACTAGCCTCATTATCAAAGTCATCCTCACTACTAGGATCAACTGCGAGGACGAAGGCTTCACCTCTTTGTCAGTACTCATCCATCTCATCACGGTACTTTTGGATAATGCTTCCATTATCGTAACGCTCAAGGACGGCCATCCATTTCCTTTTCTCAAAATTAGCCGCCCAGATGCAGTGAGGTTTAAAAGCATCTTGAAAGGCCTGGGAACCTAAGAACTCCTGCAGGGCAGCGTCCCTCTCAGTTGGGATACTCCTCTTTAGCTTAGAAACTTCAACCAAGGCATTATCTAACTCCCATTTCACCTTGGAAACTTCGAGGATAGTAGTCTCCAACTGTTTCTTAGTCCCCTCCAATTCTTTCTTGAGCCTCACATTCTCACCATTTTGCCTCTTCAAACTCTCAAAGTGTTGATCTTTGAGGTGGATGGCCTCAGCCAAAGCTTTGCTCGTTTTTCTAGCATCATTCACAAGCTGGTTATTCTCTTTAAACTTTGCCTTGTACCGCTCGACCTCTCGTAATCTGTCGTCGTACTCAGTCATGACCTACATGACAAGATGATCGTCACTACCAAGAAAAAGAGGGAAGAAAATAAAGAAATGACAGAATAACACTTACATAAGAAGATAGCCTCATCATCCGGTCACGATCTTATTCATTCTCATCGAGTGGCTCGCCAAGCTCGTCAACAATGGATCGAAGTCCTGCCAAGCAATTATTGACATACCTAAAACTACTTAGCTGCATGGCAACCTTCAAATCCTTCCAATGGATGCTGCCAACCTCTTCCTTATACTTCCTCTTACGGTTGGAGCTAGGGTCATCTTCTTGGTCAGTGGACTTCATGGTTGAAGGAAAGATGGGCTCGATGGTAGGAAGAGGAGGCAACAGTCGTCTTTCCTCCCCTGCAACTATGGCAGCAGCACACCCGATAGCCTCAGCTTCAGCTCTTTTTGAGGCAGTGATTTTGAGGACCTCCTCTTGCGACTTAGGTCTAAGGGTTGGCCTCACCCGGTGTTTACGAGCTCCCTTGTGAAACAAAATGTCATCTACAGGAACTAACATGGGTGCTTTCTCTTTATTGGTGCTAGTCCCCCCTTTCTTGCTCACTTTCTCCACTGAACAAGAAAAATCAAAGTAAAGAATGCAACTTTGTAAAAGAAAGAGGGGGCAAAATGAAGGATACAACTTACTTGCTCGTCTCTGGCACTCTGACACTAGGGGTTAGAAACCGTACTTTCAAAACAAAGGTCGTAGCTTGCCCAAATGTCTATCCTCCTTAGGCACCCTTAACACCTTCTCTACATCAGCCAATTCTTGTCCAAACAATTTGATGTTGCCTCGAGTTACTGCATGAAGGAAAATGTTAGATGCAAGAAGAAACTACAACAAATAGCAAACAATGCGAACAATGGATACATTACAACCTACAGTCTGGAAGTGAGTAAGAACACGTTGTTCAGGCGTGACACCCCTAACATACTCCCAATCATCATAAAGAAAGCACCAACGATTTTTCCAAGTGCAGTACGCCTTTTTCTTACCAAAGACAATACGCTCTCTCTCACTCCGACATGCACACTCGGCATATCCTGGGCATGCTTTCATTAGGCGCATCTTATAGCAGTAACGCCACTGATGGAAGGAAGGCTCACCTAACCCACATTCCATCCAAATAATATAAAACCCGATCAAGGTATCCCAAAAACCAGGATTGAGTTGCCCAGGCGCATATCTAATGAAAGATAGCATCCGTTGCAACCAAGGGTGCAAAGGCAACTTCACCCCTAAGGTCAATAATATTTGAGTATAGAACATGACATGACCCTTGGGCGGTTCAAAGGGCAATTCTTCATGATGTACCAAACGCATTCCTACACTGCAAGGGATACTACATGACTGCCTTAGAGCTTCAAGCTCTCTTTCGCTATCTAACAAGTTTTTCTCTAAAAGGTCCGCTGTGAACTCAGAGCGAAATATAGGTATGGCGTAAAAAAAAACCCCTCACCCACTAACATGAAGGAGGAAGAACCAATATTGGATAAAGTTTGACAATTGCGAAAATCATCCAACGTTTCTTTGGTACAAGACTCCAACAAAGGCCCTGAAGACTCCAACATTGCAAGCTCAAACCTAGAGCTAGAGCTAGGGGAGCCCTCATCACTAGAACTTCCAGACTCTGACATCTACAACAAACAAAAACAAACTTTATCACTACATGAAAGATCAAAACATAAGGAAGTTCCTAGGGCATGAAGAAAAAGCTCAACCAATTCATCATGTTCTTAAACAAATACATGAACACTTAAACAATTCAACCAGAATGAAAGCATGCGATCGAGTGGAGAAGATTACCAACCTGAAGATGATGCAAAGCAATGCCGGAATCCCTCTCAACTAGAGAACACTCTATCTTCCAAAATTACTACAAAACAAGCAAATGAAGGCAAGTTCAAGAGTGAAGACTTATCCTTCTTATATAAGTTCAACAAGACCAAACAAATTCAAAATTCAAATTCAACCCATGAGAAAGTCCCACATGAAAAGTCTTCAAACTTCCACAAGCTAGGGAATTTCAAACTTCAAATTTTCTGTTCCCCCCATTCTTAAAAAAAACAAAAAAAAAAAAAAAAAAAAAAAAAAAAACCTCACACACTCTTGATCAAGATAGTGTGAAGCAAAACCAACTTATGGTGCCAACAAAAGCTTCAACAAGTGAAGGGCAACTACAATCTCAAAAGCTTCACACACTCTTGATCAAGATAGTGTGAAGCAAAATCAATTTATGGTACCCAACAAAGCTTTAACACAAAAGCTTCACCTACAAAGTTTCAACATCAAACAAAGCTTCATCAATGGAGAGCAACTACAATTCTCAAAAGATTCACACACTCTTGATCAAGATAGTTGATGCGAGATTTATACGCACACAAATTAACCCTCTTTTTATCATTTGTAGTAAGTATGTAAGTAGGGATCGTTCTAGGCCGGGGATTAGGAGGGATTGCAAAATCACTTGGATTTGACTCAAAAACGTAAAAACACAATATAAGACACCAAACTAAACCATATTCTAAAAACACAAACTAAATTGATTTCTAACTACTATGACTCAACAAAGTAAAGGGGGACTGGATTTGGACGAATCCAAACTAAAATGGATAGATTGTAAAGAAAACAAATTGTAAATACAAATTTGATGGAATTGAATGGATGGGAAGCTAGCTAAAGGGTTCATCTCCACACATGTTATACTTGCACACAAAATGATTTCTAATTGCTTTTTAATAAACCATGAATTCTCAACACCCCGGGTTAATTAGGTCCGCTTAAATTAACCGTCAAGTTTTCCTTAAGTTAATGAATTGGATGATTGCATACGACAACCCAAAGCATTCCCCACAAGTTCCTTACATGAATTGCATAATAGAGATACAAGCAAGAATCATTAAGTTCTTTGAAAACCATAAGTGTTGACGAGGCATTCGTTACTATGAATTGCATGAAACTTATGCCAAGAATTTATTTAACGCGATTGTTTATAAGCAACCTCCACTACTTGTGAATATAAGTTCATAACTATTAGGTGAAACTTACTTATATTCTAGCGTCATATTCATGCATGAAAATTAAGCGTGCACTCTCAATAAACATACATAAATAGGTTATCAATCAAATAGTTAAACAAATTGAATCCACAACTTATGAAACGCAATTGGAAGTAATCAAATCATATTGCAAGCATAAACATGGTTTCGAATCCCCCCTAGCCAAGGGGGGGTTTAGTTCCTCATACGTACAAGACAAAGAGAATTGAAATTAAACATTGAAATCGAGGAAAAGAAACACCTAAAAATTCCAACAACTCAAACTTGAATTGTATGAACGTTTAAGCACTCTTCTCCTCCTCTTCTTTGTTGTGGCACAATGTCTAAGGATAGGTTTGGGGGGGTGTAGAGGCACGGCAAGGGTTGTAGGTTGGGTGTGGATGAGTGTTTGATGGTTGGAAGGTGGTGGAATGGTGTGTGGAAGTGTTGGAGTGCTGCTGCCAGGATGGGGAAAATGCTGGAAATGGGATGGGAGTCACGGCTCTAAGGGATGGTAATGGGAATGATGCACGGGTTAGGGATGTTAAGGGGAGTTTTTGATGGTGGATGCAATGATGAAGAGTGAATAAATAATGCATGTAGGGTTAGGACATAAAATCATAAATTAAAGGGGGGGATGATTAAAGGGTGCGGCTAGGTTGGAAAGTTGTGGAAGATGGCTGGAATGGAGGGTGAATGCACGGGTTCAAGGATTGAATATGGCTTGGGTGATTAATCCATGGGAGAGACAGCTAGGGAGAGGGAATATATGCATGATGGTGCATGAATTATATAATGAAAAGTGAATGATTAGTGCTCTAGTGTTAGGACAAAGGTGCGGCTGAAATGGTGGAAGGTGTGTATGTGGCTTAATGATGAAGATTGAATAATAAATGCATGGGGGGAAAGCTGGAATGGGTGGTTATGCACGGCAAGGGATTAGAATGGGCTAATGGTTTATGGGAGAATGATATTGAAATGGGAAAACATGTGGTTGCCAACTAGGGTGAATGATTGAAGAGTGAATGGAATAGGAATGTGTTTTTAAAGCTGAAATTAGGTAATTGTTCTTCATTTTCATTTCTTCATCTCTTTATTCATTCCTAGCCTCCTTTGTTCTTCAATTTCGTCCATCTACTTGGCTTCAAGCATGTGCAATCCATTTAATGCCCAAAACTACTCCAAAATGCACTTTCTTGCTCCTTTAGCCCTTTGGACCTACAAACACACGAAAATAGCTTAAAGTACTAAAATTACTAAGTACTAGCAACGTAAATGCAAGAAAACAAACAAACTAAGGCGCATAAATATGCTCCTATCAATAGTGTGAAGCAAAATCAATTTATGGTGCCCAACAAAGCTTCAACACAAAAGTTTCACCTACAAAGTTTCAACACAAGAGCTTCACCTACAAAGTTTCAACACGAGCTTCACCTACAAAGCTTCAACACAAAAGCTTCAACACCAAAGCTTCAACTCCTCACACACTCTTGATCAAGATAGTGTGAAGCAAAACCAACTTATGGTATCAACAAAAGCTTCAACAAGTGAAGGGCAACTACAATCTCAAAAGCTTCACACTCTTGATCAAGATAGTGTGAAGCAAAATCAATTTATGGTGCCCAACAAAGCTTTAACACAAAAGCTTCACCTACAAAGTTTCAACATCAAACAAAGCTTCATCAATGGAGAGCAACTACAATTCTCAAAAGCTTCACACACTCTTGATCAAGATAGTGTGAAGCAAAATCAATTTATGGTGTCCAACAAAGCTTTAACACAAAAGCTTCACCTACAAAGTTTCAACATCAAACAAAGCTTCATCAATGGAGAGCAACTACAATTCTCAAAAGCTTCACACACTCTTAATCAAGATAATGTGAAGCAAAATCAATTTATAGTGCCCAACAAAGCTTTAACACAAAAGTTTCACCTACAAAGTTTAAACATCAAACAAAGCTTCATAAATGGAGAGCAACTACAATTCTCAAAAGCTTCACACTTTTGATCAAGATAATCTGAAGCAAAATCAATTTATGGTGCCCAACAAAGCTTCAACACAAAAGCTTCACCTACAAAGTTTCAACACAAGAGCTTCACCTACAAAGCTTCAATACAAAAGCTTCAACTACAAAGCTTCAACACAAAAGCTTCAACACCAAAGCTTCAACTCCTCACACACTCTTGATCAAGATAGTGTGAAGCAAAACCAACTTATGGTATCAACAAAAGCTTCAACAAGTGAAGGGCAACTACAATCTCAAAAGCTTCACACTCTTGATCAAGATAGTGTGAAGCAAAATCAATTTATGGTGCCCAACAAAGCTTTAACACAAAAGCTTCACCTACAAAGTTTCAACATCAAACAAAGCTTCATCAATGGAGAGCAACTACAATTCTCAAAAGCTTCACACACTCTTGATCAAGATAGTGTGAAGCAAAATCAATTTATGGTGTCCAACAAAGTTTTAACACAAAAGCTTCACCTACAAAGTTTCAACATCAAACAAAGCTTCATCAATGTAGAGCAACTACAATTCTCAAAAGCTTCACACACTCTTAATCAAGATAGTGTGAAGCAAAATCAATTTATAGTGCCCAACAAAGCTTTAACACAAAAGTTTCACCTACAAAGTTTAAACATCAAACAAAGCTTCATAAATGGAGAGCAACTACAATTCTCAAAAGCTTCACACTTTTGATCAAGATAGTGTGAAGCAAAATCAATTTATGGTGCCCAACAAAGCTTCAACACAAAAGCTTCACCTACAAAGTTTCAACACAAGAGCTTCACCTACAAAGCTTCAATACAAAAGCTTCAACTACAAAGCTTCAACACAAAAGCTTCAACACCAAAGCTTCAACTCTCAACTACAAAACTTCAACACCAAAGCTACAAAAGCTTCAACTACAAAGCTTCAACACAAAATCTTCAACACCAAAGCTTCAACTCTCAACTACAAAGCTTCAACACCAAAACTTCACTACAAAGGTTCAACTCTCAACTACAAGGCTTCAACACAAAAGCTTCAATACCAAAGTTTCACCTACAAAGGTTCAACTCTCAACTACAAAGCTTCAACACAAGGCTTCAACACAAAAGCTTCACTTATAAAGCTTCAACACAAAAGCTTCAACACAAAAACTTCACCTACAAAGCTTCAACACCAAAACTTCACCTACAAAACTTCACCCATCAAAAAATAAAAATAATAATAAATAAATAAATAAATTTTGAAAATTCAAAAAATAAGAAATAAAAATTAAAAATTAAAAAATAAAAATTTTGAAAATTAAAAAACAAAATCAAAAAATCAAAAAAAAAAAAAAAAAAAAGCCTAGGCCTCCTCTTCTTTGGGCCTAACAACTTTCATACCAAATATATATGAATGAGGAGTTCTAGGCAACCACCTAGAAAGGAAAATGGTGAAGTTTTGTTTGGAAAATTGCCTACTAGCAAGACACCTCCCTCATTAACTCCCTTGACCGGAGACTTGGGGGACTCCTACCATATACCACTACACCTTGGTACTCAGAAATTTCACAACTACTCAGTACCTTGGATTTTTCAAGTCCCCAACCGAGAAGTTTTCCTCACTCAAGAAATTAAGGGAGCACTACTCCAATCTATAGGGTCCACCCACGAAGTTTCAACATATAAACTTCAACAAAATAAAAAATTCAAAAAACTTAGTGAAGGATACCTTAATGTATTTAACACAACACGGCAAATGAAGTAAAGCTTATTTATTGATATCTTCGATAAATTACAAATACATGCATACACATGAATCAAAACAAACAAACAGGAGGGCACCTTCACAAAGGCTGCTCAGAAGAAGTCTCAACACTCGGCAAAGTCCTAGAAATAGGAGGCACCGGAGGGTGATTATTTGGAGCCTCAGTACTGGGCAGAACCCCAGAAAGAGGAGGCACCAGAGGTTAATCATTTGGAGCTTCAGTATATG